ATGTCAATGTATATATAGTATCAGTATATTTTGTACCTTCTTTGCTGAGTTCTTCATTTTTATCTTCCAAGTGTGCCTCTAAAAATGAAAGAATTTTTTTAAATTTCTAACGAAATAATCAATTATTCACCATATAAACGTAGTAGGAATGAATGTCGTTTCTTTTTTGGAAGATCATTGCCATTTTCGATTAATTTTTCTTTTGATGTGTCGTTTCCCATCGTGAAATCGATTTCGTAAATATTTGTAAAACAAATAGATAATCTCAATAATAAACTAAAAGTAAATATCCTTTTATTGACTAAAATTTGTACGTCGTTTCGGACTTTCCTACCTTGTTATTTTTACTCTTTAATAACGACAAAAGACTGTTGAATAGTAAACATGTTTTGACTATTTATACAACGTGGATGAAAAAAAAACGAAAAGGTATGCTTCGATTTTTAATATTCAATGACCTGTACATCGTAATATGATCGTCGCCATGTATGTGAGACATTATGAAAAAAAAAAGAAATGCACCGTACTGTGTTTAATAATATATCGACTAAGAGACAGAAATAGTGACTATACCTTATGAAAATATATACTTATACACAGCGCTAATAATGCGTCATTTACAAGGAGCAAAAACAATCAATTACGCTGAAACTTATTTTCATAGTTAAGATTTTATTATTGATAATTTCTATATTTAGTATTATTTAATAATTTACTTTTGAAACATTATATTGATCAAAAAATATACATTCTACAAATGACATGTAAAGAAATTTTTGTTTTTGTCTCAAGAGTTCTTCGATAAATGTTTCGATTTGAAAATAATTTTCTTCGTTTTTGTATGCATTTAAATATTTGAAGAAAATCAATCTTTGATGAAATTTTCGTGAAAACTACCATGATTATTCTATGTTCTATAAGTCATCAAAAATGTCTTCTGCATAAACTTTATTTTATTCTCTATTATGCGACGAACTTGAGCTGAGCTTTAAGTACAAACATCAAATAGTTCGAACTGAATCAACAATACAATACTTAACTGTTATCAATCTACTATTCTTAAAATAACTAAACTGAATGCAAACCAAATATCGACAATAGATAAGATTCAAATCTTGTTTCAACTAAAAAACAATATTTAATGATGGTCGGTTTTCAATTGAATTAGTTTGAAATTTTAAAATTATGTTTCCTCTATCTTATACAAATCATTTATGTCAAAAGCTAATATGAGAAAGTTTTATTTTAAAAAATTCAAAATGCTTTATAGTTTAATATATGAATCATTTCAAGGACAATGGGGAGTATCTTTTTTCATTTGACTTTGATTCTTGACAACAATTTTTTTTCTAAATATGTTTTTGTAGCATAAACATATATAAAAATGTCGATTCTTTCAGTTGAATCTTAATAAAAATAAACAAATTAATTAATTAAAAAGTAATAGCAACTATCTCTCTAATCATATGAAAAACACTCTAAAAAAAATTCAAGATAGATTCTACAACATCGACTGCATTTATGCTAAAATTTTGAGCAATATCAAACTTCGAAAAACTTCCTTTAAACAACAGGTTTTCTAGAGATCCTATCATGTCCTAAAACAAAAGTTTTTTTCTTATCATCATCGAGAATTTCTGAGGAAGAGTGTGCACCATTTGAAATTGTTTTTGAACATATCATTCGATTATAATAGAGTTTTTTTGTTTGTTTGTATTCTGTCACATATTACAGATTAAAATTAGCTCTAGGAAAGCTCATTATCCCGAGAAATATATGTTTTCATTTCGTAAAGTCACGTTCCTATGATATGAAATGATCTATATATCAATAACAATTCATTCTGAATTCTCCTTTGAACTATAATAGAAAAAAATATACAAAGGAAGAAAATTTTATCTACTCTTCGAAAAAGTCATGTACAAATGTATATTTGGCTCTGACTTTGTAGTATTTAGTGAAAAGATAATTAAAATACTTATCTTTGTTTACTTCGGAAAGAACTAGTGTATTTTCAGTATATATAACTTTCCAACATATTAGATGATAATATGACGAGTAAATTGAAAATATGATACACTATTTCATACAAGAGAAAATAAATTAGTATATTCATCATCGTCTTATTTTATCGATAACAATCCTTCAATCGAGTGAATAAAGTCACATAAACTTTGATAAAAAAAAAAAGAATAAAGATTGGTTATGTAAGAAAAAGTTTTATGCGTGATACATTGTCCTGAAATGTTGAAAACCAGCGATGTAATATATAGTGTATACGACAGTATCTCTGTCTTATGCAGGGTTTCAATAAATTATTCATGTGAACATATGATTCAACAAAATAATCGAAATAATATAAAAAATTAACCATCGATCTAATGAGCATTGTTCTAGATAAAGATAAATCTTCAATATTTTTCTAAATAAAATATTAATAGATGATTTGAGACTTTAACAATGTGAAATATATCTGAAAAATGTTTCGGTTCTAAATTGAGTAAATTAACAACAACATTAAATTGTTGAATTCAATAGCAAAATATTCATAAACATTATTTTTACTTTTATCTAATCGATACTTTGTTGATAAGGTTATTTTAATGGAAAACTCATCACTATCCGGTAAATTTTTTTTTTTTTTAGTTCGATATCTTAGATCTGCTGTAAAATTTTCAATAGAGTAGGAGTGTGAGGTACAAGAGAAGACCAAGATCCAACCATCCTAATAAATAATAGTAATTCATCTTATTACATATAGTTTTTACACATCTGTGTAATGCAATATTGCCCAAATTTGTTTTTTGTTGTACGTTGACTGAAAAAAAAATCATTTATGAAACTATTAAAAAACAACGAATGGAGAATATTTCCTAAAGGATCTGGAAAAGAAATAAGATATTTTCAACCTTTTGAAGTTTTCTCTACTCTCTAAAAATAGATAAAAAAAAGGTCTTATCTGACAAGAATCTATTTTTCTTTTTTAATAACAGATTTGCAATGCGATTCATATTTCTAAAGACAAAAAAATCTAGAATTTTTTTTGTTTCAAGAAGAAATAAAGATCATCATAAAGTATGTTTTTTGTAATTCCTTGAAATTCGTTCCTAATTTAAATGCTCTTAATCAAAATAGTGTGAACTGCTGTATCTTCATTATTTTTGACAAAGAATCAATCAGATTCTTCTAGAACGGCATAGTTAAAAAATTTTTACCGAAAACAAAATTTTATACAAGTTTTCAATTCATCTCAATTTTTTAGGGTTAAAAAAGCTTTATACACTAATTATAGTAGTAAAAATATTTAATAGCATAAGTAAATCGATCTGTATCTTGTTTCAGAGCTTCAGGTTTGTAAGAAATACGTTTATGATGAAGAAAAAAAAACGCAAACTAAAGCAAATTGAAATAGAACTTTTTTATATTTTTGATAAGGAAAGATTAATTTATGATTGATGATAAGCAATGCAACGGTTGTAAATAACAATTGACAAATAACAGTATAGAGTTTAATACATTAGTCAATGCTTTGTTAACGTTTATGACAATCACATAGTTGACAATGCAATACTCTCTAATATTGTCTTTGGGTGGCGTAATTCTTAGTATTATCATTTTCGTCTTGGGTATTGTGGCTTTGACTACTCCAACTTGGCTCATATTAATCCAAGGTTCACAAAGAACGCTTACTTATAGTCTGTTCGAAATTTGCAATAAAGCATTAGCTATTGATTTGGGTTCTCTTAAGCAATGCGATCGTTTAAGCAATTTTGATATAGCTCAGGGTCTCACAATTGCTGGTGTGATTATATTATGGATCGGCATTTTGATGTCTATTGTTTTAGGTGTGATATTTAGTAAACGTTGGATCAAGTTAATGCCACTAATTCTTCTCATTACTGGATCTACTCTGATTCTTATTGGAGCGCTTTTGTATGTAAGAGGTGTATTACAAAATTTTACGAGTGGTTCCGTCAAACTGAATCTTGGATATAGTTTCATATTAATTTTGATTACATGTATTATTGGTTACATATCAACCGCTTATTTTGCATTTGCCGCTGGTTATACGGAATATCGTCATCATGAACGGCTATCTACACCTCACAACGAAGTGAATTATGAGCTATAACTAAACAGAAATTATATTGACTAAAGTCGAAACTTGTTTTGTATAACAAATATGATCGGATAGATATTATTAAACGGAAAAACTGACTTCGGTCTCTTTTTTTTTTTCATCTATTAGTTTTTTATCAGTTTTTTTCTTCTTTCTTCAACATTTTCGTTTTGCATTAAATTATTTGATAACAATAATAAAATAGAAATTGATAGCTATTGACGTATAAGAATGTAGTGTTGTGCTCTATTTTCTAAAATTTTTTTTTATCTTCGTATTTGAGCAACTGGTAAATTCAATCACAATGAAGCAGAGATTTAATTCATTCTAAGTATCATTTGAAAATAAATATCCAAAACTTGCAGTGAACAGTTTTAAATTTAAGACAAATTTTCGGTCGACTTTTCAAATAAATTTATTCAATCAACCATTTAGCTGTGTTTCAATCAATCAATTCTGGATTGTTATTCTAAATAAGTCTTCTTTCAGTGCAGTTGGTTGAAATTCCAAAAACAATTAAAACTAAGGAATAATTTGTTTCTATTCATAAATGAATTTTAACTTTTTTGAATGTACAATGGATTACTCGAATATACATCTGTGCACTTTATATTATTTTCTAATTTTCAAACTATATTTACTGTGCTACAAGATACTTAGATGTATTTGAACTCCTTTTAATACCTTTGATATATTTTGACTTACTAGAGAAGTCAATTTTCAAACTAAATATATATTATTGTAAGAAAAAAACAAAAAAATATATATCAATGCATTGTATTGTCAGTATGGTTTTCATCTTATGAACTTTCGCTTTCATTATTAATCATCTTTCCAACCCAGTTTTTTTTCAACCATTGTTCAAATGTATTTGATTTCGTTAATCTTTGTCTTTTTCGTAATAGTCATATTCTTCAAACCATTTGTACATATTAATCAGATCATCTTTTTGTGTACTTGTTGATAAGCATGTTTGTGTTGCTCGAAATTTTTCGTCTGTTAATCTTTCTCCTAAGGCTGGAATATCAGTTACTCTTGTAAAAATTTTTGGTACATCTTGAAAATTAATTTCTTCACCACATATACAAATATCTTGACCAACGAATTTGTCATGATTTGCTAATATTTCACGAATAATAGGACCTATACTATCAATATCTATTAAATGCAATTTTGCTGTAGGATGAAGTGGAGTTGAAAATACAAGTCTATCATAGTCTAATTTTTATTATTAAAAAAAAAATTTCTTCAATTTTGCATATAACATCCAGATTCAACGTAAATACGTTTTAAATTTGGATATTTTTCCTTGATATAATCACGTACCTTG